TCGAGGAATTAATGGAAAAGGGCTTTATAAGACCCAATATGTCGTCTTGGGGGTCGCCAATGTTATTCGTTAAGAAGAAAGATGGATCTATGAGGATGTGTATCAAGTATCGAAAATTGAATATGATCACCATCAAGTATCCACTTCCTAGAATTGAGGATCTGTTTGATCAATTACGGGGTGCGACGGTATTCTCCAAGATAGATCTGAGGTCAGGATATCATCAGTTTAGGATAAAATCTAGTGATATCTCAAAGACGACCTTTAGAAATCAGTATGGTCATTATGAGTTCTTAGTTATGCCTTTTAGCGTGACTAATGCTCCAGGAGTATTCATGGACTTGATAAATCATGTGTTTCACGAATACCTAGATCGATTTGTCATCATGTTCATCGATGATATACTAATCTACACGAAGACTGAAAGGGAGCATAAAGAACATTTGAAAATTGTGTTACAAATTCTGAAGAAGGAGAAATTTTACGCAAAATTCAAAAAATATGAATTTTGAGTATAACAAGTTGTGTTCCTTGGACATGTGGTCACAACCCAAGGAATTGAAGTGGACCCGAGTAAAGTATAAGCGGTGTTAAATTGGTCGAGCCAACCAATATAGGAGAAGTTCACAACTTTCTGGGTTTAGCAGGATACTACAAAAGATTTATAGAAGGATTTTCTAAAATATCAGGACCCTTGACTCATTGACCGTAAGGGTGCGAAATTCGAATGGACGGGGAAATACGAACGTAGTTTCGAAGAATTGAAGAAGAGGCTAGTTAATGCACCAGTGTTGACTATAACTGAAGGATCGGAAAGTTTCATAATATAGAGTGATACATCCAAGCAAGGCTTAGGTTGTGTTTTAATGCAACAAGGCAAGGTAGCATATGCATCCAGACAATTGAAACCTTATGAACAGAACTATCCCACACATGATCTAAAACTTGCAGCAGTTGTGCACACTTTGAAATTTTGGAGACACTACCTGTATGAGGGTAAATGTAACATTTATACAGATCATAAAAGCCTCAAATACATTTTCACTCAAAAAGAGTTGAACATGAGACAGATGAGGTGGCTTGAATTGGTAAAAGATTATGATTGTGAAATTTATTACCATCCAGGCAAGGCGAACGTAGTGGCAGATGCTTTGAGTAGGAATATAAGGATTTTGAGAGATTAAGTCTCAAATTAGTGACTTAGATGAGACAATCTATATGAATCAGTCACAGGGTTTCATTGATACAAAAAGACCTAATCATGTTTGTCTTTTAAAAAGGTCATCATATGGTCTAAAACAATTACATAGTCAATGGTACAAGAGATTTGGCAATTTTGTATCATCTATTGGTTTTATAAAAAGTTCTTTTGATCATTGTCTTTATTTTAGAAAGAATGACATTAATTATGTGATTGTTTATATTCTTTTGTATGTTGTTGATAGGACAAAATATAAGTGATATTAATGACATTAAAAGAGCTTTAAGTGATGAATTTGAAATGAAAGACTTAGGTCATATTAGAAGAATTTTAGGAAGGAAATTAAAAGAAATAGAACACAGCAATATCTTCTTTTAACACAATCTGATTAAGTGAAAAAGATATTGTCCAAGTTTGCTATGCATGAATCCAAGTATGTTACTTTGTCTTTTGCTAGTCATTTTAAATTGAGTAAAGATCAATGTCCTCGTGATGAATCTGATATCAAATACATGCAAGGTCTCTTATGTATACTATGGTGCGTACCAGACCTGATGTTGCCTATGCAATAAGTATTTTGAGTAGATTTATGGTTAATCATGATCCTGAACATTGGACTACCTTAAAATGGCTATTAAGATACTTAAAGGGATTTAGGTTTGCATTTTAAATCTTGCAAAGATGGAGTTATTTTGAAAGGATATGTGGATTCTGATTATACTGGTAAAAAGATAACAGGAAATCAACAACTGTTTATATGTTTACTTTGTATGATACTTGCATAAGTTGAAAGTATCAATTGCAGTCTATTGTTGCCTTATCTACTACAGAAGTAGAACATGTGGCTGCTACTGAAGCTATTAAAGAGTCTTTATGGCTTAAAGGCTTGTTGTGTGAATTAAATGAATTGGTTAATCCTGTAGTAGTCTATTCTGATAGTCAAAGTGTCATTCATTTATGTAAAAACCTTATTTTTCATGAAAGAACTAAACACATAGATGTTAGAATACACTTTATTAGAGACATAATTCAAAAAGAGTCTATATTACTTGAAAAACTCCAACACGGTTTAATCCTGCTGATATAGAAACCAAAGTACTTCCTCTCAACAAATTTAAATCGTGCTTACAAATGTTAAGAATTGATACCGGGTAATCTTTGTGTTGGTGCAGGAATAAATCAACTTGGTGCTGGTGATAATGAAGAACTGAAAGTGTTCTGAAGAGTTCATTTGCCAAACTTTGGTTTGTTTTTATCATTGGCATCAAAGGGGAGATTTGATGGGATGTGATGCCATATAAAAGTGTTCAGTTCATTGGCTAAGATGAAATTGGGCTAAGCCCACTTGTCAGAATTAAATGGCCATTGTCCGATAACTCAAAATGGACCGTTGCCAAAACTCGAGCCCAACTATAGATGACATGTGTGTTGCTTTGGACCGTTGATCAATTGTTGAGATCCACGGTGATGAATGCTAGTATTTAAAGGACCTGAGTGGTTGCCCTAATCAGTTTTTTTCATTTAGATTCTACGAGAATCTTCTGGGTTTTCTCTCAGAGTTTTTTCTCATTCTCTTTTTCGTCTTCTGTGTGTTAACCTAAAAATGATGAATCTGAGTGATTCGAGTCTTTTTGATTCTTCTTTTGAGTGTTTGGAGTTGAGATCAGTTAGTTGATTCTTGATCCATTGAAGTAGCTACGTTTGTCCGTTCATTTTTGGGGCTTGGGTTTTGTGGTTGTTTCGTTTTGTACAGAAGGGTACAATGTATTTTCTGAGCTCAAAACTTTCAATCCCTGATGTTGATGATCTTTTATTGATCGTCTGTGATCTTGAGCATTTTGTTTCCGTTTCAAGTTATATCAATGATATTTCATCCCAAAATGACCTAAGTATTTGTTTTGTAATTCAACAATGAAATCAAGGTCCAGAAGAATCAAGCTCAAAGTGAACCAAAATTTCAGTAGTAAGCACACATTACACTTAGCTCCCTCGATTTCACCCCTCATTTTCCCATCATCAAATGTTCTACCCACCGCCACCATTATGACCACCACTGATAGTAGGAGTTTTATATCCTCGAGCTCGATCACATTGCTCGAGCTTAACTGGCCTTGATTACACCAAATGTGAGGTCAGGCTTGGAGACGTGGTCGGGTATGTTTATTCCTCTCCAGACCACTTGACCGCAACTTACATATCTTAGGAATAGTTTTCCTATTTTAACTAACACTCCTATTCATATACGCAATCTCAATCTATTACAAATTCTACTCTAACTTAAATTGTAGACTTCTAACATAAGACAAACACTTAGAATAAAAAAGATAAGGATTACATGAAGTTGAGTCATTTTAGGATTCCACCTCCAACATCTATAAATACATGACTCAGCCTCATTATTCAGGTACTTTTTCATTAATATTCCAACATACCATATTTTGCGCAATTCCTCTTTCTGACTTAAGCATCGCCTTAGTTTCAAGTATTGAAAATCAGATCGTGCGGAGTTCAACCATCTAGTTCGAGTTCATTCGGGTACAAGTTTTTGGTAGCATCAACCACTATGGCCACAATCATCACCACCATCACGATCCTAGTAATGACGGTTCTAAGGACTGCGAAAAAAAGGAAGTAACATTTACCTACATTGATCCTTCATTGTGCGACATCGTCTATCTTTCTTTCTTTCTTCTTCTTCGATGGATTGGGTAGGGGCCTTATAGTCTTTCTTCAGGGGGAAGAATTTGTGGATTTTGAGAGATAGGGTTCCGAGATCTTCGATTTGGGAATTTTGGAACGAACGAGTGTGGTATAAGATGTGGAGTTAATTGTTTTTGGCCATTTCTCATTTTCCCCAACGTAAAATGTGCTTACAAAAACATGTGTTTCTTACCTAGCAAATTATTCTCCAGTGATTGGTTACCCAATGGTGACGTGGCGTCTCAAGTGCATTTTGTTAGTCAACTTGCATCCATTAGTCATGTCATTAATTTCATAGAGTTGTAAAATGAAGTTATGAGTAACGTCCAACAATTTGACAAGTTTAATAGCCAAAACTCAACATCTGAGCTCTTTTGGCACAACTTTTGCTTTTGCTTATGCTTTCTTAAAAGAGTTTTTGGAAGAAGTTATTTTAGTTTTTGTTTAAAAACTAATTTTCAAAAGTACTTTATATTCCAAAAGTATTTTTAGAGGAAACCACATTTGATCAACTTTTTCTAAAAATTCTTTTAACTATTGAATCACTTTCTTAAAATTAGCCAAATTGATCAAAATTCAACTTTCGAATCTCAAAAACTCCTTTTGATATTTCGAAGGCCATGCCAACCGAAGACACACATATAAGTTGGTGATAATTGACACAATTGTGATAATTGACACAATTGACTCCCCAAATTATCTATACCTAAAAAATTCATATAGATTTTAAATATAGGTCTTACACAATCCAAAGAAAATAAAATACAACAAACAATTCACGTATCAAATATTCTCTAATGAATTTTACTTTATTTTAAGGATTGTATTAGATGTACATCCAATCCATTACACTTCCTCACATGGAGAGGCCACGAGAATATTTTATTATGTGTTGCCCTCCTCACACACCTCCTAACGTGGAGGGCCACGAGAATATTTTATTATGTGTTGGCCTCCTCGCACACCTCCTCACGTGGAGGGCCAGGAGAATATTTTATTGTGTGTGCCGGTCCGGATTGTATACATTTAGGCCGGTCGTTATTTTAACATATATCCAATTACACAATTTTCAAGGCACAAACTGTTTGAATCTGTAACAATGGATTTCTGGCAAAGAGCTCGGAGCTTCGCCGAGGAAGCCGCGAAGCGATCGCAGGAGCTAACTCAGGGAATCGGCTCCACCAATTTCTCCGATGTAGTATCGGAGGCGTCGAAACGGTCTATGGAGTTGGCTGCCGAGGTGTCAAACAAGTCCAAGGAAATTGCTGTTGAGGCATCGAAGAAATCCAAGGAGATCGCTTCCGAAGCGTCAAAGAAGTCGAAGGAGATCGCCTATCAGATCAAGTTTCAGATCCCTCCGGTCGCCGCCGTGGCATTGACTAACCTGGTAGACTCGGGTCAGAAGGGAAATGAGGTTGATCTGGAGAAGTATGGGGTTACTGATGAGCTCCGGCAGTTTGTGAAGGGGATTACTATGAATACTTTTCAGGATTTTCCGCTTGAAGGTATTGTACTCTAATGTTCTACTCGATCTTATTCGATTGTTTAATAATTCGAAGCTCTATAATGGTCAATTTACTGTGTGATTAGCATTGTTAGTATTGGTGAATATCCTTGTCGCTTAAGAAATGATTCCAATAAGTTCGAGGAATTTGTAATATAAAATCATTATGCATATTCCTTTACGCTAACTGATTCCATTAAGTTCAAGGAATTTCACTATCCTTTTTATCTTTTAAAATAGTTCAAGGAATCTGTATGCATATGCCATTAGGCTAACTGATTATTGGTTCCAAATGCCCTTTTTAAAGCCATTTTTGCTGTTAGAACTCAGAAGTTCTCATTAAATGTTTGCTCTCTCATTCTTCTTGAAAACGACATTGCTCAATGCCTAGGCTTCAAGATGAACTGCTCTGAGAAGTTTGTGTCATTTGCTTTCTGAAATCGCTGTTTAGGAAGTAAAATTAGAAATTTTTTGTTTTTGAAGTATTCATTATTTTTCAGGGACTTTCAGTAACTGCACTGGGAAGCACTAATGTTTAACACGACCTGATACCTACCACATGCACTAGGAAGAATTTAGAAAAAAATTATAAAATGGTTTAATTTATAAATAGATAGAAATGATGGATAAGGGGATAGTAGTAGCCGGTTTGTTAAGAATATTGGGCCTAACTCCACCTAATAAAACCAGCTTATTAGGGGAGGATTGCCATCACCGTATTAGGTGGATCATTTATATTTTCCCAAACAATGTGGGATTCTAATACGCCCCCTCACGCACAGCGTGGACCATATCGAACAACTGTGAACAAATCGATATTGGGTGGTACCCAACATTGCATAATTGAGCCTAACTTTGATACCATGTTAGGAATATTGAGCCCAACTCCACCTAATAAAACCGGAACTCACAGCGTTGACCATGTCAAACAATTGTGAACAAATCAATATTGGATGGCACCCAACATTGCATAATTGGGCCTAGCTCTGATACCATGTTAGGAATATTGGGCCTAACTCCACCTAATAAAACTGGCTTATTAGGGGAGGATTGCCCTCATCTTATTAAGTGGATCATTTATATTTTTCCAATCAATGTGGGATTCTAATACGATCAATTGGAATGTTTGGTTGAAAATGAAATTTGACCATTTACACATGATTTATAAATTTTGCCAAATGCAAGCTAAGTCATTTGTTCTGGTCCGAAACAGCTTAGTATTTGTTGAAAAATTTATATGTGCATATGTCCCTTGGAAAACAACTTTATTTGTTAGCCATGCAGGAGATAGTTTTGATTAGGAGAAGGAAATGTGTATCTTCTGTTGTGTAGGATTTAGCCTATATTTGGCTTATTTTTATAAACTGTTTGTAATCAATTAAGCCACTTTTTATCCAAATATTTCGAGGGGTCCACAAGTACCACGCATATAGCCACCACTCATTTCTATCTATTTTATAATTTTAAACCATTTATAAACACTTTCCAAGGCATTCTTTTAGTTTTTTTTGTGATATAATCGTTTCAGGTTGAATGTCAGTGCGACAGGCAGTTGCAATTTAATCTTGTTTCTTTGATGCATTGTCTTCTTTCCTTGAATTAGATCTAAGATTTTCCTTATCTGGTTTCTTATTTTATCTGGTATTCTCAAAACAGGAATACTTTTCAGTATATAAACTAAGTTGGAAAAATAAATATAGAAATGATAAGGAAGGCATTGTCTTCATGCAAGTCACTTATCTAGTAATTTGGCTATACATTGAAAGATTAAGGCTTGGTGAAATGATCAGGAAATGAAAACGAAATAAATGGAAGTACCATTAGAAATTATCCAGAAAAGAAATGAAAATTCAAAGAAAGGTAAATGAAAAAGAAATACTGGTTGGAGCTGCCGATGTATAACTCTGGCAGAAAAATGATCCTGCTTTTGAATGCATAGGGCCTCCTGTGTGCTACAAAGTCTTAAAAGTGTTCTGGCAATCATGTGTCAGACTTCCAGTGGGTCCTATTTCATTTTTATTGAAATGTTAAGATTATATTCTAATACTAGACAAAATTTGCAAATTTAATCAAAGGCAAATTATAAATTTCATGAGCGTTGAAGAAGCTTCTTGACCAAAGTAACTTCTCTGGAACGCATCATCTTCAAAATAAGGGAAGTTCTCCAGTCAGCTCTGAAAAAAGCAAAAGTGATTGCTAAGTTAAGACTCCCATGGCAGCCCAAAAAGAAAAATAGGGTGCCCTCCTACTTGGAGCTCCATGTTTGAAAGGAGGGAAATGAGATGGTTGACCATGGCAACTTGTGGGTAAGACCAAAGAAATACAAAAAGATTGTGGCTAGGAATAGGAGGAATGGACCATCTTTTGGAGAATCTGGAAAAGCTCTCTAGACATCTTCTGAAGTCAGAATTAGATTACTCGGATTAACATGCATGTTCAATTTCTTTTTCCAATTTGATCCAGTCTTTTTCTTTCACCTGTACTTATTGGTTAATTATGTGAGCAAATTACTGAGAAACCTTTTCAAACAATCTTAAAAGGGAAAGAAACACTTGATAGCAGTTTTTATTATATATTGGTATAAAGGGATTAGTTTGAGCCCTTGCCCCTTCTTTTTCTTCTTATGCATTTACTGTCACATCATCATAATTGTTGCCTGGCACAAAGTTGGTATGGCACAACAACAAACATCTTTTTGGTTTATTGTGGTTTCATGTCACCTTCTGTTGCAAAAACTTAACTTCACCAGCATTTTTATGTGCAGATGACTCAGAGATGTCAGATATTCCTACTGTTTCAAATGTTCGACAGGATCTCACAGAGTGGCAAGCAACCCATGCCAAGCTTATGCTTGCAACAGTGAAGGTTAGATCTGTATCACCTTGAGAAATACCTGAATTGTTGTCTGAAGTGAGAACCAAGAAAATAAAACCCCTGGGAAATTAAGCCCCTGTTTGATGGGGGATTAAAATCAGATTTTTAGTAGATTTTGATAAAAGTTGATGAAATGTGTGATTGAAAAGTTATGAGTCTCATGAAATATGTGATTAAAATTAATTGTTGACGTTAACTTAGATTAAAATCTTGATTTTAATAATTACCGAACAGGGGCTAAATAATTAACCTATCTTTTATGACATAGCAAAAAGAGAGTATGCAAGTGATCAGTATAACAATATAAAAGTTGAGTCCAAAAGTAACTGCACCAGAACCGGTGCAATTGTGCAACCACAATATTTGATGGTGTTTAGTTGGTTTGCAGGAAATTTCTAAGCTAAGGTATGAGTTATGCCCAAGAGTGATGAAAGAGAGGAAGTTTTGGAGAATCTACTTTATTCTAGTTAACAATCATGTGACACCGTGAGTACCTTTCTTCTATAGGAGAACTTCTATTTTGATTGCTTTGATGAAAATTTTCATCAATGTATCTATAGTCATGCTCATCGTGTATAACATTTTTTATAAATTTTGAAGCATATTAAATATGTAGGTAGTGCCATATTCTGTTGGTTTATTTTACAAATATAAAAATGTCTTAAGTTATTCTTAGAGCTCACAAACTTTAATGTATTTATCAGTAAATGGTTGTTCCCACGTGTGAGAATGAAGCAGGATTCCTTTTTGGGGCACCACTTTTCTTGAAATTCTATATCAATTTGTGCAAGCTTTGGAACCAAATTTGTGTTTCCATAATCATTCTCGGATGTAAAGTAATAAAAAAGTAAGAGGAGGGTACTAAAGAAACTGAGGAAGAAAATATTCATTGGAATGTCAGCTAAAAAAACTGAATTTACCACTTAGTTGATCAAATGGATTAAATAACAGAATATTTGCTCCAAATTAAGCTTATATGACAACCAAAAACAAGAACAAAGAATAACAATATGTTTTCTTAAGCCCGGATATTTTTCTGGTAAAAAATTCATGAAGTTGGGGGCCTTAAAAAAAGTAAACTTCCAATGATGAAACCTGGGAGTTGATTTTAAAAGCTTCAGTTATTTTTTATCTTGGTATGCCAAAAGCTGATTTCATTAAGATTTGGAGAGTCTCACTTCTTTTGCATGAGCAAGAACTGAGAGTCAGTTGCCATAGAACATGCTATCCTGACTCAGTCTTTTCAAAGATATAGTTATACCTAGATACATTTTTATACAAGCTAGCTAATCTAATATAAATATGATTCAGTTATGTAGAGATAAAGTTTCCTTTGTCTATAATGAAGAGATGTTACTATATTTTATCAGAGGGCAGAGTTTCAAAAAAGTTGATTGCTGAAAACTTTCAATGCTGGTTACCTGAAGAATTTATAGTTAGTTTTCTCTTAAGGGAGTGATATAAAATCCGCAACTAATTACTTGGGAAAACTAAGGTTAAAGAAATAATGATGCCAAGTTGGGAAAATGAAGCTGAAAGAAATATTCCACCTTGGTGTATACAACTCCACATTTGGGCTTTATTTTCACCTATCCATATCATGTGACCAGACTAGAGCACAACCAATCCACAAAAACTGTAAACAAAAGTTTGTTTTCTTAAATCAACTGAATGGAAATGGTTCAAAAGAAATATCTTTATTTTACTCTTTCCCATTCAGAAGGTATTGATCACATATTGCTACATCTTGATATTGCTGGATTGCTTTGGTGTAAACTTCTTCAGGAAGTTGGTTTTAATCGGTTCTTCCAGTGGAAGTGTATTAAATTGCTCGTTAAAATTATAATTAACTTGGGTAAGAGTAAAGGGGGCATGAACATATGGAAATCGACAGTTTCAGCTATATTTGGGTGATTTGGATAGAAATATGATCTTTGAATGAATGGACTTAGAAGTTAGTTTTGGAACGATCTATGATTATGAAAGGATTTGTATGTATTGATAAGAACACGATAGAGAAAGGGTTGAATAATTTCTGTAATCCCTCATAATAGTTACAATACAATGGGTTCAATTTATAATAATTCCTAATCTAAGAAAAGGAAAACTTTCCTAATCTAAATAAGGTACACAATCAAATTATAATAATATCCCATAATGTCTGGGATTTCTACACTCCCCCTTAAGTTGGATCATAGATGTTAAATCATATCCAACTTGCAAATAAAATTCTCAAAAGTTGGTCGAGGTAGTCCTTTGGTGAAGATATCAGCAATTTGTTCCTTTGTAGGCACATAGATCATGCATATAATCCCGTCTTCAACCTTTTCTTTGATGAAGTGTCTGTCAACTTCAATATGTTTGGTTCGATCATGCTGGACTGGATTTAGAGAGATGTTGATAGCCGATTTGTTGTCACAATAGAGTTTCATTGGAGATTTTATCATGACTTGTAATTCTTCCAATAGTTTCTTTATCCATAGAACCTCACATATTCCTTGTGCAACTGTTCTAAATTCAGCTTCAGCACTACTTCGAACTACTATATTTTGCTTCTTACTTCTCCAAGTTACCAAGTTTCCCCAAACAAAGGTGCAATAGCCAGTAGTTGATCTTCTATCTACTATTGATCCAGCCCAATCCGCATCAGTAAAGACTTATACTTCTTTTTTTTCATTTTTCTTGAAAAAGGGTCCCTTTCCAGGGATACCTTTGAGATATCTGAGGATTCTGTATACTGCTTCTAGATGAGCTTCCCTTGGAGAATGCATATATTGGCTTACCACACTTACGGCAAATGCTATGTCAGGTCTCGTGTGAGAGAGGTAGATTAGTTTGCCAACTAGTCGCTGATATCTGTCCTTTTTAACTGGTCTTCCAGTGTCAACTGTTTTTCCTGCCTCCATAGGTGTATCACTTGGTTTACATCCAAGCATGTCAATTTCAGTTAGAAGATCAAGAATATATTTTCGTTGTGAAATATTGATACCCTTCTGTGATCTGGCCACTTCTATTCCCAAGAAGTATCGCATCTGTCCCAAATCTTTTACTTCAAACTCTGTAGCTAGGCTTTTCTTAAGCCTTTCTATTTCCACTATATTATCTCCAGTCAGTATTATGTCATCGACATATACAATCAGGATTGTTTTGGTCCCTGCTTCAGACAGTTGGTAGAACATAGTGTTGTCTGCATGTGCTTGGCGATATCCTTGATTTCTTAGTACTCTTGCAAATCTGTCGAACCATGCTCTTGGTGACTGTTTGAGCCCGTACAAGGATTTTCTTAGTTTACACACTTTATTTTCTTCATCCCTTCTAGAGAATCCTGGAGGTAAGGTCATGAAAACTTCTTCTTCTAATTCTCCATTCAGGAATGCATTCTTAATGTCGAGCTGTTGGAGAGGTCAATCCAAATTTGCTGCTACAGACAAGATAACTCGAATTGTATTTAGTTTTGCTACAGGAGCAAATGTTTCTGTGTAGTCAATGCCATATGTTTGTGTATAACCTTTTGCAACGAGACGAGCTTTGTATCGTTCTATTGTTCCATCAGCTTTGTACTTCACATTAAAAACTCATTTACAGCCAACAGGTCTTTTCCCCCTTGGTAGCTCTACCACATCCCAAGTTTTATTTTTCTCCGGTGCTTGCATTTCTTCTAAAACAGCTTCTTTCCATTTGGGAATAGCCATGGCTTCCATGGCTTCCTCAATGGTTTTTGGAATTTCTGTACCATCAAGGTTAGAACAAAAAGTACGAAACCCTGTAGAAAGAGTGTTATATGATACAAATTTTGAGATAGGGTGCAGAGTGCATGACCGAGGTTGTTTTCTGAGAGCAATAGGTAGATTAATGTCCGAAGTAGTGGGAGAGGTCCCTTGTAGATTTGGAACTATCCCCGGTTCTGACTCTCTTGGTGCTTCGGCTGTAGGGTTTTCATTGTACCTTGATTTTGGTTTTCTTGAGTAAACTAATATCTCTTTGCCACGTTCTTTTTCTTTATCTCTCCCTAAGTTTAAGTTTTCTTCTGCAAATAGCATATTAGAACAAGATGATGTAGTGGGTTCAGTGTTTGGGATGGATTCTAGGGGAGAAGAGAGATCAATTTTCAAGAGCCGATCTTCATCTTTACCGACATTCTCCCCCTGAAGAGATGTTTTTTGAAAGTATGGAGTTTTCTCAGAAAATGTGACATCAAGACTAACCAATACCCTTTTTGTGGTAGGGTCATAGCATTTATAACCCTTTTGAGTAGGAGAATAACCGATCAGTACACACTTAAGAGCACGGGGATCTAGCTTAGTCATATGATGTGAATGTATATGGACAAAAGCTGTACACCCAAACACTTTTAGAGGTAGGGTTGAGTTAAGATGAGAGTTAGGAAAAAGTTTTAGAAGTTTTTGGAGAGGAGATTCAAATGAGAGGATGCGACTCGGCATTCTATTTATGAGATAGGCTGAAGTCAAAATGGCATCCCCCAAAAAGTTTTAGGCATATTCATAGTGAACATCAGGGCACGGGTAACTTCGAGAAGGTGTCTATTTTTACGTTCAGCAATCCCATTTTGTTGGGGAGTGTTAACACATGAACTTTGATGAATAATCTCATTCTCTTGGAGATAGTTTCTTAATGTAGTGTTGAAATATTCTGCACCATTATCCGTACGCAGAATTTGAATTCGCGTTTGGAATTGAGTTTGAACCATTGAATGAAAATTGAGGAAAACGGATCGAACATCAGTTTTTTCTTTTAACAGATAAACCCAACAGATTGTAGTATGGTCATCAATGAATGTAACAAACCATTTTGTATGTGTACGATTAGGGGTTTGTGAAGGTCCCCATAAGTCACTGTGAATCATAACAAATGGTTTGGAAGGTTTGTATGTAGATATTGGGAATGAAGAACGTTGATGTTTTGCAAGTTCACAAATTTCACAATGGAGATCATCATATGAGTTATTTGAAAATATAGAAGGAAATAGACGTTTTAGATATTGAAAATTGGGGTGACCCATTCTATAATGCCATAACAGTATTTCACCTATCTTAGGGACAAAAGCAGAATCGCAACTAGCAAATTGACGTTATTTGCTCACATCAACCTCTTCAAAGTAGTAGAGGCCCCCACACTCCTTAGCACTTCCAATCGTCTTCCCCGATGATAAGTCTTGAAAGACACAGTGAGAAGGGAAAAAATTAGCAGAACAGTTGGATTCTTTTGTTAATTGACTAATTGACAGTAAATTGCAAGACAACTTTGGGACATGGAGAACAGATTCAAGTGTTATCAAACTGGAAATTCGAATACTCCTTTTTCCTGCAACAGGGGAGAACGAGCCATCTGCAATTTTGACTTTGAGGTTGCCAGCACATGGTGAATATGTGGTAAACAGGTGGTAGGCGTCCGTCATGTGATCGGACGCACCAGAGTCAATGATCCATGGAACTTTGGATTGTGCAGTAGTGTTTAGGGCCTTGAGAAAACTACATTTGTGGCCAAAGAACTTGATGGGCTATGATTGATTACATGGGCTGACCGATTGGGCCCAATGAATTTGGACCTATTTATCGTTCTTCGTGAATTAATGTCCATTCCATCCTGTCCAGATTGATTAGGCCCAATAGCATCTTCTAAACTGGCCGAGACTCCATTACCAGGTGGCCCAATTGATTTATTAGGCCCAAAACATGCTAAGACAGTAACTTCAGACGGCCCAGTTCCTCTGTTCTTCTCTGCGTCCTTCCTCTGTTGATGTTCTTGGTCGATCTTCTGTGGGAGTTGGACTGGACTTGCGCCAGATGGAGAGAGCCCATGGGTTGACTGGACGCGGCCGGAATTTGAAGGGTTTAGGCATCGCTTTGCACCCTTCGTGACTGGGAACTGTTGTGTGGTTGATTCAGAGTCGTGGTCTGTTGTTTGGAACGAATTGAAGACATGGTTGGAGTCGCCTGAGGTTGGGCAGTCGACCGGTGGGATGTTCCGATCACGGTGGTGGCCGGTGGTGACGATTCCGGCAGTTTTACCATTGTCGAGAAGCTCGTTGCTTGAATTGATTCCGGCCAAAAGGTAGGCCTTTTTAACTGAGGGTTTTTTCATCTTGACTTTGCCGAGTTAGCATTACTCTGGCTCTGATACCATATTGATAAGAACACGACAGAGAAAGGGTTGAATAATTTCTGTATTCCCTCATAATAGTTACAATACAATGGGTTCAATTTATAATAATTCCTAATCTAAGAAAATGAAAACTTTCCTAATCTAAATAAGGTACACAATCAAATTATAATAATATCCCATAATCTTTGGGATTTCTACAGTATGGATAAGGATTTCAAAGGCATTTCTTTTTCTTAGATCCTTATTTGGAAAAAAACATTTCATGTTCTATCAACTTTGTAGCTATGTCTTCGAGAGTGCTCCATGTATAATCTTGATCTATTACTTTGACCTTCTAGCCCATTGAATTGGATCATGTTATGAAGTTCATCTAGATTTCATGTTCAGACAAGAATGTAATTACTGACTTACTGTGGTTAACACCTAAGCACACTAAGCCTTTGATTGAGTATGTTTGTTTGGTAAGCTCTACCTACATCATTTTCTAAAGCAAGTCATGTCTTTAGGCTTTTGAACTGCATCATTTGATCTACAGTGAGACTCAAGGAATGCATTTCAAAACAGGAAGCTTATTGCATTTGGCTTGTGTTTAGCTGAATTTTCTGTGTTGTTTCTTACATGAATTTGGACGCATGTTCAGCTTAATGTGTGGTCATTATGTTCACAGTATTTAGAATTTTTAAGGATGTTAGGGTGCAGTTTGATAACCCCCATAAACCTCTTTAGGTATCTCTAGGTCTGGGTGTATGCACTTGATTTCTTATGCGTGTATCTCTGAATATATGGGTCTTGACTTAAATGCTTCAAATTTATTGAATTTGTTGTAGGTATGAAAAACGGTATATGGAAGAGGTGAAGCTAAAATCTTCAGAAAAGGAGAAAAATGCTGGCGGGAAGGAAATTGCATCAGGTGGAACATCTTCTAAAGCAGCAGTGGAGGTTTCAAACCAGAAAAACAATAATGCAAAGTCACCTGCCTCTGAGCAGGATTTAGATGTATTTCTTCTTGGAGACCTTGAGGACAGTGATGATGGTCCAGGTACACTAAGGCACTTATTAATGTGTTAGAGCATCTCCAAGAGATTATCTAATAATTTTAAAAAGTATATTCTACAATTTAGAAAACATCTATAAATTTAGGGAGAGAAAATTTTTAAATACTCCAACGTACTCTTTATATTTAACACTTAATTTTACTACTCTAAAAAAATATTTATTGTTTTTCCATATCTTTTATTTTCACTAGCTATCCTCCAAATTATTATATTATTTTCCTCCATTAATAATTGAAATATTGAATGCATTTAATTATAGAGAATGGGTTTGGAAAGTCGAACTCACTCTTTAAATTAAAATGTTAATTTAAAGAATCTCTTGGAACATAATTTTAAGGATTAACTCTTTAAAATAGAGAGTATCTCATGTTTAAAGAATTTATTGAAGATACTCTTAGCATTTGATCTGCACAGGCAACTAAATTGTTTTAGATCAAATATGATTTCTTTCTTCTTTAGTTAACCATGTCCATGGCAATCTTTCTTCTGTCTCGTTCGTCTTTCTTTTCTTTCGAGTCTCTTTCCTATAATTCAAATACTTAGTCCATATCCAGTTATCTCACAGTTTTTCCCAAAAATAGGAAATTGTAATTGGTCCCAATCAAAACCACAAGATAATCAGTCTTGAAACTGTTTGCGACTCAAAAACAACCTGATCACCAACTCTGCAAGGTTCATTCTTTTCCTAACCAAAAAGTTTACCACCCTTTTATATCACAATAATAAAACCTCATTTTACCTACAAGGAAAAAGTTCTAGTCTTTCTTTTGCTAGATCCATGCCCAACCACCATACAGATGTACATTAAAAAGTGGATTAGGAGCATTAGACTTGTCTTTTTCATTCTGTGCTGATTCTTTATCATGCTGACTAATGTTATTATTTTGGTTTCTCAGATGGTGGTGATGATGGATTTGATGATGATTTTGACAAGATATAGCTTGGTAAGTGCAGTGTGTTACTTGCATCTGTGGTTCTGTGTGGTGCGCATGCTCGTGCGTTGTTGGGTTGGGGTGGGGTGGGGGCTCTCTCGTGTTCTGAGAAATTTCACTTTGTTTTTATTTAAATTTGCAAATGACACCAAACAAAAAATTGTTGCCTTTCACTTTTTAAATATTAGATTACAATCTATGCCCTTTGTATAAATAAATATTAATGGGTTGTGTGACAAAGCTTTTGATATAAGTTTTAGCAGATTTTGATAAAAGTTGGTAAAATGCGTGGTTGAAAAATTAATAGAAGTTGTGAATTCCATGAAATGTGTGGTTAAAATTAAAGTTTGACCAGTTGAAAAATTTATAAAATTTTAGCGAAATTTTATCAAACAAGCACTATTTTTGTATCTTTGGTATGTTAAATTAATTGAAGGGGACTTAACTAAGTGCGAAATGTAACCTGGTGAGTATAATTTGGTTAGAGTGACCTTATGTAGTTAAGTGATCAAACCTCAATCCAAGTTTTGTTTAAACAATAATTTTTAATAATATATTTAAGAAAACTGATAAAACATAATTAACGGTGTCAAATTCACTCCCGATAAATAAACGAGTACATTAAATCCATCTATTCCTGTTTCTGTGAATAATGTAATGTGATTTTACTTGCTACCGGGTTTAAATAGGATTAGGAAGTTTGGTTCATGGCTCCATGGCAGCCTGCTTATTTGATATTCGCTTGGTTTTGCTTGTAGTCTTCTTATGATCCTGTGAAAGATGAGAAAGGACGACAGGCAAAGTTGTTACAGTGGCCGAACCAATAATGTCCATACTTCTTACAGATTTGGGGAATAAAGCAATCTTAAAAAGGAGACCGATTCAGATGCTGAACGAAAATCATGCTGCAATAAAAAACTTACAGGCAATGGTAAATTCTGCCTTCTCTCTTTGGTTCCGTTTTTAAATCCATTAAATTATTCTTAGCACTGTGTTATTGTCTATTTTCTTCCTGTTTATCTGTCTTACCTTGGTTGTTCTTTATTTTTTAATCAAGGATGTGAGATTTGTTGGACCAGGTCACGATGAAACTCTCGGTTTGATGTATAGTATTCTAGTAGTTTGAGTTTCTTTTTTCTCCATCTTTATCGAATATCCTTTATCAACAAACAATTGATGGATTCTTCTTTACATCTGCTATGTCTACGCTTTAATGCGGATTGCATGCATTGTTCCACTTAGAACTTAAATTTTCTTGCTCCATGCATTAGATTCAGGCTTCGAAATTGCTATGTTGATTCCTAATTATTGAGAAAAATGTCTAGTTTGTTGCTACCCCTCATAGCGTTGAAATGAGAAATTCTTTCATTATAGTGGTTTGTGCTAGCATTGTGTGTACTCTATTGTCTTGTGTTCAACATGTCTAGTCGAGCAGCCAAATCATCCATTTCGAGACCATATATAGAGAAATGAGATGAAACAGATTCGATCGACTTACATCGAGTGTAGTATACACATCATCCATTCCGGGATCATTTAGAGAAAAATGAGATGAAAGCTTAACATATCATAGGAATGGCAATGGGATGGGGGCGACCCTCCCCGTCCCCTACCCGTGTCAGGGATTAAACATTCTAGTTTCCTTTCCTGTATTCCTATTTACTTATTTATTTTCCGTCCCTGATTCCCAACTAACTAGAGAATCCTCATTTTTTTTTAATTATTATTATAGGTAATACAGAACGGGATATTTTGTCATCCCTGATCATATGTCCATTTATATATATTATTTCCAATGGGCCTCATAAATATTGATACATATGAACTTGTAAAATAGAGAAAAGGACTGTTCAACGTTTTTCACTTTTTGCCTGCTTTTCCCATGTTCTTGAAACTCGGTAGATACACAAGGAATATGGACATAGCTGTTGGAATGTATTTATTTTATCTTAAATTAATATTTGTCCATATAATTAAAATACTAAGAGCTGTTGGATTATTTATTCAAAATGAATTGGTACATAGGAACTTATAAAATAGAGAAAAGGACTGTTCAACGTTTTTCGCTTTTTGCCTGCTTTTCCCATGTTCTTGAAACTCGGTAGATGCACAAGGAATATGGATAATACATAGTTGTTGGAATTTATTTATTTTATCTTAGAATACTAAGAGCTGTTGGATTATTTATTCAAAATGAATTGGTAGAAGATTGTGGCAGAATAAGTTTCATATCATGAGAAGTCATGGGGTGTTAGTGGAGCATTATTATTACATGATTTTAGTGGAGAATTATTGTTGGGTGGGGAAAAGATTTTTTTTTTTTTGGTCTAAATTTCAAACGACTCAAGTCCTTGTTTGGTTGGAATTGAAATTAGATTTTTAATATATTTTGACAAAAGATAATAAAATATCCGGTTAAAAAGCTGTGAATCACGTGAAATATGTAATTAAAATTAATTGTAATGTAACTTTAATCCCTATCAATCATGGCTAAATTATTTCTTAACAAATGGGTGAATCTTGGGCTGGGTTGAAAATTTCAAAGGAGATTAGTCTCTTGATTTGGTTGGAGACAATAAATTAATATTTAGAGCCTGTTTGAACTTCTAATGATGCATTTTGAAATAGCAAATTGATGGAGAATATCTTTTATATATATTAAAAGTGGCTATGTAACGGAATTTCTTGTTTTCAACGGAAAAACTAACAGAATTTGTTCTTTTAACGGACAATATAATGGAATTCTTGTTTTAAACAAGTGTTTTTATCATAACTTTGTATTCCGATATCTGATTGAGACGATTCAAAATGCGTTGGAAAGCTAACTCATCTGGCTACAACTTTGATTCAGACATCATTCTCCAATTCGATCACTTTTTATGCCAAAAATAGGTCTCAATATGAGACTAAAATATCGGAGCATAACTTTTCGGTTGGAAATTGATTTGTGATCATCTTTTGACTAAATTTGATTCCATTGACGTCTTCCTTTATCCAATTGACTCCGAGCACTCTCAAATCTTCATCGTGAGGTTCGGCACAACTTTTAAGTATTTACATTTTAGTCCCCGAACTTTGGATCCCTTACAATTTAGCCATTTCTCCAAATTTGTCAACTTTTGCTTATTTTCTTCGATCTCACCAACTTACATCACAACATCAAAATCACACATCTAATTATTTATCAATTACATAAACATTACATTATTAATTATTTAATTAACCAAAAAAATTGTATCTTTATTAATAACAAATTAATTCTTAAACAAAAATATTAAATATAAATTAGGCAAATGTGCATTGCACGTTGCTTGCACCTAGTATGGTTAAAAAATAAGAAAAAATTTTAAGTTTACGTGTAATATTATTTTATTGAATAATGTGGTATTGAAAAGAGAAAAATGTAATTTGAAAACGATGGGAATCAAATAAGGGGCTTAGATTTTAAATGTGTCGACTATACTTGGATTTTTTTTTTATCATAGTTTTCGTCGTCATCGACTTATGTTTGACACTTGCTACACTTACTGAGATGAAACCAAACTTAAATGCAAAGACATCGTAAACCTAACATAAACATTTTACTTTTCTTCAGGTAAAAGAAAAGAAAAAGAATGAAGAACGTAGGTGAGTACCAATTACCATCAAAATTTGACTTTGACGCGAGATAGATCTGTCTAAAAAAAAGGGTTATAATATTCATGCCACGTTTTTTAAATAAATAAACCACATTTTAAGTTCATTAATCTTTATAAATTATAATATTATATTCTTAATTTTTTTTTTTATCACATTCCTATTTTTAACATTTTATTATTAGAAAAATATTGTCCTTTGTTTTCTTCGAAAAATATTTTTAAGGTTCTTTAAAATGATAGTTAAATATTTAATAGTATTATTATTATTTAAAAATATAATGGGTAAATGAATCTTTTTTACTTTATCTTAAAGAAAAATCATAATTAGGAGCATTTTATGTTTATTTTAGAGTATAAGTGCAATAAAAAAAAAGTTTGAGACATAAATGTGATAATTTGTAAAAATTATAAATCTTTAATGCAAATAAATATAATCTAATTATTAAAAATTATAGTGTTAATATAAAAAGCCCTAACGTCGTCGTGTTCATCCCATGTTAATTGGTGATAACGGGTCAAGTTGAGCTTGGGTGAGTCATAATCTTTTCCAGTTTTTTTTTATTAAAATTTAACATAAGTAATCAATAGAAATAAATGCTTTACTTGCCAAGTTCAGCTCGACTCGACTCTACTCGCCTCACCGATATTCAAACTTGGCTCGATCCGTGATGCAATGAGCTAGCCCGTCATGTAGACTAGCGATTTGAACGTATTTTCATCCTATTCATAATGGGTAAAGTTGAGCCTGCGTAGGTGGGGTCCAAAAAGAGAAAAGCCAAATGGACAGGGCTCCGTGACAGGGTTTGGTGACCGACCCCTCACTGTGCTGTGGGACCTACATGAATAAAATATTTCCAAAATGTGTGGGCCATCCCCCCTATATGAGTTATCGGTCCCCGAGCCCTGTCAATTGCCCCTGTCACTGTAGTGCAATTCGTCCAAAAATTGAAAAATGAACCGTGGGGACGGGCATTTTGTTGACCGTCCCAGTAGTAGTATCCCGTTCCGTTCTCACTTATGAGCTACTCAACCGACACTTCTATGGATGGTGCGGCTCAACGGTAAATACCAAATGCTTTTATAGATTGTCAATTTCTCGCACTCTCTCTCAATGTAATATGTTTAATTTATGTCAATTTATAATTTGATTTGACATTACTATCATTAGTAAACAAAAATATATTAATATTATTTCTTTCACGCGCTTCTCTTAGCTCTGATTTGGACGGGCTTCGTTAATTCTAAAATACATTTTTCTATCTTTTTTCAAATATGCATTCTTTAATAAGATAATATTACATGTAAATTTATAAAAAAGAAAAAATTTAATCACACAATTTTTAAAAAATATTATTGCAAAATATATTTGTCCCAAAAACCAATTATAATAGAGCCTAAATGGGGGCATAACCCCATTTGGCCTCCATTATTTTTTTCTATCATTTTCAATTACACATTTTTCAATAAAAAAATATTATATGTAAATTCAAAACTTATCTTTCTTTTTTAACCACATTCTTTAAAAAATCACCGTTATAAAATACATTTTTTTCTTAAAATCTAACTATAATGGGGCTCAAGCAGGGACCTATTCTATGATCTAAAATGATTTGTGTTGTTAGGGTTTGAGGGTTCAAGGAAGGGTACGTTTGGAATTTCACAAAATGTGTGTATTGAGAGGTGGGTAGGTGGGGTTATGGTTCGCCATAAATTGGTGTAAAATGATCGTTCAAGATATTTAGATAGGTAGTTTCGATCTCAATACATTTTTAACCTTTTGATAGATTAAAATCTTCTCGATTGAACGTGATGTGTAATCTGTCAAAATATATATTAACGTAAAATCTATCGAATTAAGTCATTTTTCATTGTTATGAACGGACATTTTATTTTCCCGCTCAAATCAAATCTTCTTTTCGAAAAAAGTTCAATACTTGTTCACTTTCTCTTTATTGACGACATTTGTCATATCAACATGAGAATCTTAGCATCGATGTATTGTGATAAGGCCCTCCAAGGAACAAGCAAAGTCAGAGCAAGAAAGGGATAAAAGATCATTAGTTATAATCATCATTGAATATTCAGTGTTAAGAATTTGAATCGTCGCTCAACTTCATAACGGACATCCTTTCAAATTAGATACTATCACATCAATATAGACCAAACGTTTAAATCGTAATTTATTGCTTGCTCGTTCCAAAATAGTGAGTTCCAAATTTCCAATGCCCTTTCACAAAAAGTATTTTTTTTAAAAGTGGTCAAAATATCACGAGAAATTGTCGGCGTCGGTGGAGACACGGAATCGCACATATATATATTTTGGCGATACGGAGGTTGCTGCAAAGTCATATCGTATCGCCACGTGTAAGTTTATTGTTGCTCGATTTTTGACACGTCTGACAAAAACTTAATACTCGTAGGGTCCAATTCTGTCAACGATTAGCTGGCTCTCATTTAATTGGCTGTATTGGATTTTTAACAGGCTGGCTGGGGGGTTCCGGTGTGGACGGCAACGGTACAACTGATTCTAGATTCACCAATCAGAATTGATGGTGATTAAAATTTCTTGAAAATATATTTGACGATTGTCAGTAATAATTGTCTGAAAATCATAAATCAACAAATATTTGATATCAAAATATTAATCACAACCAAAATATACATTAACAAGGTCAATTGATGAACTAAATCTCTAATAAATATTTGACATTTATTTAAAATATTGTCCATATAAACAAACAAGAACATTAAAAAGGATATCTTTAGTGGGTACAAAATTTTATTGTTAAGTCGTAATGGTAAACATCGTTTAATGGATTTCTTACGTGTTTCCTTAATCTTGTTTTAATGAAAATTAACTACTTTTTAGTAATCCAACTTGATCGTTATAATTCAAGTTACATCAAATTAATGAAAAGTCATTAGATTACAGTTTATGGTATTAACATTTAACACTGGTTTGGTGAGAATTAAAATCGAATCTTCAGTAAATTTTAATAAAAGATAATAAAATGTGTGATTGAAAGTTATGAGTCACATGAAATATATTATTGAATTTAATTGTTGACTTTGATTTAAATTAAAATTTTAATTTTAATCACCATACTAGAGTTTTATAAATATCTGATGAGATTTGATATTTATTCATAATAATATTCATACAAACAAGAAGACGCTATATAGTCGACGTTTAATATGTCTACACTTATTTGTTAGTAGATTTAATTAAATTCGATTGAAAAGAGACTTAGAATCTTAAAACAAAAATTATAAAATATAGTGCAACCATTCGATTCACGCCTTCCTTGAAGTCGATTGCCAAAGTCTTACACACAAATACCGTTCAATATCTTTTCACAGCATAGATAACTTCAAATTAGTCATCTGGTCGTGTAGGCAGACATAATCATTCTATAAATCTTTTTCGTGTGAAATTAACTTTCTTCAAGTACTCAACTTTATCGTAACATATCAAGACAAACTCGTGATCTTGACATCAAATTAACTCTAAAGATGTGAAAATCTACCACTATTAACTAAAAGAAGAAACATGGAAACAAGAAGTAAAATGAAATTGGGTGTTGGTATTATGATGGAGATAGTCACATGGGATTACATTCAATCTAGGGTTAACCAGACCATATACAATGGTTAAAAATGGAATGGAAATGGTGGGGTGGAGTGGGTTGGGTTGGGTTGGGAGAATTGGATCGATCACACTCACCACTCATCATACCTATGCTATGTAATGTATACAAATTGTACCAACGACAACTCGTTTCTATGATTGTGCGCATTTTTGCACCACCCCACAACGCCTCTGCCTTCTTATCTCTCTCTCCTCTACCCACATTTTTCTTGCATTCTCTCTCACCGTGGGTCACTGTTTTCTCTGATTCCGGAGGATCTACGACCGGTCCACTAATTGTTTCTACGACCCTTTTCGTTTCTTGTCTTGAAAACCCCGGAAAGTTCGAGATTAGCCCTGAAATTATTGAAGATCGAAGCATTTTTGTTCCATATTTTGTGTAATGTTTTTGTGGTTGCATTGGGGGAAAAATCTTGTGTTAAATCTGCACAGAAGTTGCTCATTTGAGTTTAGATTTGAGATTTGATTCCATTCTTTTTGCTAGAGTAAATCCATCCCCACAATCACAAGGGAAATACATTTTGGGATCGTACATTTGATCTTGAAAACAAAAGGGACGTAATTTCAAGCACAATCGGAGAATTAAAGTGTATGTAATTGATGTGTAGAATAGAGAGTAATAAGACGAGGAAAAGGTGGGTAATGGGGTTAAAATCGGCGGCTTTTGGTGGAGATAGATTGGAGAAGTTGAGGAATAGTGGAATGGTATCAAGGTCAAGAATGAAGCTGTGGATGATAAGGGCTACGACGTCAGTTTTGCTATGGACTTGCTTGGTTCAGTTGACAGCACTGGGTGAGACTTGGGGGCCTAGAGTGTTAAAGGGATGGCCCTCTTGTTTTTCTCAAGAATCTGCCACCGCGGGTGGGGGCGGCGGAGTGGCTGCTGCCTTGGATGTTAAATCCTCGCCTGAGCTTCCGGCTAGAGTTTTACCCCAAAAGAGTGAGTGGCTCAACTTTTCTGCTATATTGATTCATTGTATATGATGTAATTAGTAAATGCTGTTTCTTTCTATGTTTTGTTGCTGCAAATGCAAGTGTTTATGTGCAAATTCGCGTAAAATCTTTTGGGATTGAGTTGTTAGATCATGTTTATTAGAAACTGTGTAGTTAATACTAATTTGGCATATAGCTCTTTTGTTCTGTATCTGTGAAAATTCGTGAAGAGATTCTTTCAAAACGCAAGGTTCAACCATTAATTATGAAAGTTACATATCAGATTCTTCATATTGTTTGGATGCTTTCGTTTTCCATGTAGTTAGTTTGCATGGTTAGTAATTCTCCATATGGAATCCTTGTCTGTTGCTTGACTTCTTTCCACATCTTGTTGTTTTGTCGTTTCATGTGATATTTGCACTCTTAATTCTCTGTGTCAATTGAAATGTGTTATCTGATGTAGGAGTTTACAAGAACAATGGTTATCTGATGGTTTCGTGCAATGGAGGGCTCAACCAAATGCGGGCAGCGGTAGGTTTTTTCTTTTATTAGTTGATTATTGATAACCACGTTAAACATACGTGCATATTTGAGCTCTCTGTTTCTTCTTAAGTTAATTAATTGACTATTTTTGCTCGTTGTATTTGTCTTTGCCTACAGATATGTGACATGGTTGCAATTGCTAGACATTTGAACGTTACATTGATAGTTCCAGAACTGGATAAGACTTCATTTTGGAACGATCCGAGGTGCTTTCCTACTTCTAATTCTCAATTTTTTTAGTGCTCAATTGTATAGTTCATTTTTTCTGCATGCTAAAATTTAGTCTGTCTTAAATTTCTCAGTGAGTTCCAAGACATATTTGACGTTGATCATTTCATTACTTCCTTGAGAGACGAAGTGCGGATATTAAAGGAGCTACCTCCAAGGGTACAGAGGAGAGTCGAGCTAGGAATGATATACACCATGCCCCCTATTAGTTGGTCAGACATTTCTTACTATCAGAATCAGGTTACTAGGTTTCTTATCCTGTTTCCTTGATTCCTTCTACGACACTCTTGTGATTCCTTGCCTAATAAGATCTCGTTGTCATTCCATGCAGATTCTTCCCTTAATTCAGAAGTATAAAGTTGTACATTTGAACAGAACCGATGCTCGGCTTGCCAATAATGCTCAACCCATGGAGATTCAGAAGCTCCGTTGCCGAGTAAATTTTAGTGCTTTGAGATTTACTCCTCAGATAGAAGAATTGGGTAGGAAAATCATCAAAATACTTCGGCAGAACGGTCCTTTCATAGTACTTCATCTCAGATACGAAATGGACATGTTGGCCTTTTCTGGCTGTACTCAGGGCTGCAACAAGGAGGAGGCGGAAGAATTAACAAGAATGAGGTGAGATCGCTCGGTATTTTGAGCACGTTGACCTTTATCTCCAAACATGAGTGGCTTTTTTTTTTTTTTTTTTTTTTT